AATCCCACTATTCGTTGGTAAAAGAGTAGCCCAAGCGTTGATGGTGGGTGGTGATGACTAGCTGCCTTCCCTCTAGTCTTATACTGCTAAAATAGGAATGGCTCGTGCAGATAGCTCTCATGTACCTTTGCACGAAATTTAAAAACAAATAAACAAACACTCTATGTTTCTTGATTATCACACAATATTGTACAATGAATTTTCTCTCTCTCTCTGTTGGTAATTTCAGCCTTGCCTGTGGATGACCAAGATCTATGTTTTGGATGCTTTTCTACACATCCCAATTACACCATCCTCACTATGTTTTCTCCTATTCATTCCACAGGATTGCATTTCTAGTTCCATGCTCTTCCATTTGGTAGACCTTCACTTGTCTTCTTTACATACAGGGTCTGTGATTGCATTTTATCTTGGCTACAGGCTTCTCCTTGCCCATTACTAGTCATATTCCTCCCAACACACTTGGGGAGGCTTATCAATTTTCCTGTTCCTTCCTCACCCTGACCCTATTTCTCATTCACCTGGAATTTTCTTCATCCCATCAAGGCTGAACCCAACCTTCTCCCATTTGCCTACTGGACTCTGAATGTCTAATCACCATGTCTTGCACCTTGCATTCATTTTCTGCACTAGGGGCCCTTTCTCCTTTGAATCCCATGGATTTTTTGGAACCTCTCCTTCCACTTGGCCATGCATGTGTCCCTGGTAGATGTTGCATGACCAATGGAACTTTTTTAGGGTGCCACTATCCTCACCAATACCCTCCCTCCATTCATTTGGAGAACCTTGCTTGGTTGCTAGACTTCTCCAGCATTCCTTTACTTTCTCCCAAACTGGACCTGCACCTGTTTATGGATGTTCCTCTCTCAGGATGGGGAGGATCTTTGAATGATGGTCAGACTTCAGGCTTTTGGTCTCTGGAGGAGCATTCTCTACTTATCATGTCATTATACTGCTTGCTGTCTGTCAGCCATTCCAATTGGATGAGTTTAATACTTGTCATGTTCTGGGTGCACTGAACATCATCACAGTCTGCCTTTCATGAGGAGACAATGTCCTACACATGGAATGACCCCTCCACTAACAAATCTTCTGATGGTCTGCTCCCATATGGGTGTCTTTGCCACACTCCTTAAAGCTAAACCTTCTCAGTCAGTACTGGTGCCATCATTTCCTGTTGGCCTATCCTTCCTTCTACCTCTTACCTCAGGTCCTAACTCTGATTTGGGACACCCCTTGAAGGACCTTAATGGTAATCTCTCATTGGTGATCCAACTTTGGTTTTTTTTATATTGTTTTTTCTCATCCAAGACCCCCCTTTCCATTTCCAACATAACATCCCTTCTGATCCAACCCCACACATCACTCTTTCATCTGAGAGTAACATACCTTCATCTTCATGTGTAAAATTTGTTCAGTCCACTCTTTGAGCCATACCCTTCAATCATGTAGCTTTCTTTTTGTCTCACTCTTATCTCCTGACTTCCTCTACCCTGTACCTCAGTACTTGGTGTACGTTTCACTGTTGGTCTCACCATCACCATTTACTCTCTGATTGACTTGCTTTGTAACATATTACCTCCTCTTTCATGTATCTGTTCTGCTGTGGCTTGTCTGTCTTTTCCATTGTGAGTTATCGGATGGCATTTCTACCACCTTTTACCTTTTCTAGTGCCACAGGATATCTTCTTTACTGGTCCTTTCTATTCTCTTCAGGTCCTTCCTTATACACAAACTCCCTCTTTGCATGACTAGAATTTTACTGAGGTTCTCCACACTCTTATCCGAGACCCTATCGACCCTCTAGCAAGTTGTTTGATGTATCATCTCTCCCTGGACACATGTTCTCCTCCTCGCTTGTAGTCACTGTCTTTAACATATCTGTGCCACAGTGTTTTCTCAAACTCTCTTAAACTGCATTTACCTTATTCTTTATCCTAGCTGGTCTTTCCTTCCCTATTCTTCTGTAGTAAGGGCCAGTGGTCATACCTTTCTCCTGTATCCCTTCCCAGTGTTTGTGTCCTATCTGGGCTCTTTGTTGTTTTTGTCATGCTCTTCCTCCTTTTGGGGTTCCAATCATGTCCTTTCATTCCTTGAGACCCCTCCTCTACTTGAGATCTCTATCCTTCCACTCTTACAGGAAAGATCTGCCTGCTCATCAGTCTGGTATGCATCTCTTTGAGGGTGGAGGATTGGAGGCTTTATTGTGTCTCTTCTCATCAGATTCACCACCTCCCACATTCTCTAGCTACTCATTTTCACCAACTTTTGATGCTGTTCACCTGGCTGGCATGTGGATTACCCCACACCTCTTTGTTGCCCACTATATAGTCCAGCTGCCTGTCTTGTCTCCACAGGGATTTAGACTTCCACCTATGATCATTTTTTAATGTTGAGTTAACAAATACTTTCCCACTACAGGATCCCACTAGGTGGCTAGTGTTGCCTTTCAGAGTATACTTACATGAATCTCTCTCCCCTCCCCCTTGTCGAGTGGGGCACAGGAGACCCTTGCCACTTTTCAGTTCCTAGCCACTGAGGTGGTGGACCATAAAGAATCCTCACTGAATGGGGCTAGAATAAAAGGTTCCTCTGTGGTGAGAAGTGGAGCTGAGATGACACCAGAGCATAGTATGTGTCACCCCACATATGTAACTATGATACATCACAATCTTCAAGTGGACTGATGGGACAACTCACTAAACAATTCCTTTTATATATATATCTTTATATTACAAATCCTCCTCCTGCAGCCAAAGTTTGTTCAGTCATGGTGAACACATGGTCCACATTGTACTGAAACAAAAAAGAACGAAAAGTAGAAACACTCACTTCCACAGCTGGTATCCAGCCCATAGAGACTGACAGTCAAGTGTAGGTGTATATGATATGGTGCTCTCCTCCTGCAGCTAGTATCCAGCCCATAAAGACTGACAGTCAAGTGGAAGTGTATATAATATGGTGCTCTCCTCTTGCTGCTGGTATGGGGCTGTAGAGACTGATGGTAGAGTTGAGGTGAACACAATGTATACAAAAGCGATGTATCATTCACATACAATATTATCACAGCAGGCAAGGAGACCTCAGTGACTGATGGTCAAGTAGAGATTTATATCAGTATTCATAAAGACATGATATCTTAAACTACCCTCCTCCTCCAGTTGGCACTGGGTCCATAGTGACTGATGGTAGAGGAGATAAGTATGGATACTTATTACCAGTGCCCTTCTTCCACAGCTGGTCTTGACCCATCAAGTCTGAGGGTAAAGGGGGTTAGCACACAAGGTACATTCTGAACAAGTGCCAACCTCACTACAACTATTGACTGTCCAACAGCTTGTGTGTGAGTACTCAGATGGCCATCTTCCTATTTCACCCATCCTTGCAACACATTATGATTTATTTGCCTATTCTATTATCCTACACGGGTGAAGAGTATACCCTGGATGAGATTAGATGGGGTATTTCATATGTGTATTCATATAGAGCCTCTGCCTTTGGGTGTTACACCCCATGGGCTTTCTGAAGGGAACTATCTAGGAGGTAGTCTTGGTACTGGCCCCTCCACCATGTCAGTGTGGGATTCTAGCTAACTATTCTGTGTGAAGAGGTGAATATTCATTTTCCTTACCTGAAAATGTATTTCCAATAGCTACTCCCCCCCTTAACACATTACCACCGTGGGAGTTTTCAGTTATTTCTGGCAGAACATGTGAAATCAACAGGAAAGAAGCTATTGTGTGTGTAGAGGTAAGTATCTATTGGAAATACATATTCAGGTAAGGAAAATGTTAACATTAGCCAAGTGGTAGGTGATGATTATATGCAGGCTCTCCAGCGTTCCTAGTATTTCCTAGTTTTCCTAGTT